AAAGAAAAATATCCTATGAATATAGATTCGCGAATTAATCCTGCAAGTGGTAGACCATCGTCGGGATGAATGTTCGTCTCCAAGTTAAATTCTTCAAATTTCTCTCCCAGATTTTTCTCTGTTCCACGAAACACGTTCTACGTTGCTGCTTTTCATCCCGGTGGGTAGCTGATATATTTTTCGTGAAAAGAAACTAGGAATATTTCGAAAAACTCACGAACCGGGTCTCTTTGGACCTTTTTACAGACATTCTGTATTTTTCGCAGACTTTAATAGATCAAATACTCCTCGAGGGTATATCTCTGATCCCAAATATTCGTAGAATATTTTTCGTTTTGAATAATACTTAAAAGCATGGGAAAAAATAATATGGCAAGAATAATCTTGTAAAATTTAAATACAGCAGAAAGGATAAAGAAAAATATTTAGGAGTGTAGCGTCATAAAAAGGTAATCTTCAATTCGGGTCGTATTGACCCGAGGTGAAGAGCAGGGTTAACTGAATAGGTATTACATGACCATAAATTATTCGACCCTTTTTTCAAGGTCCATCACCCTGTGTATCTTTTATGTCAATACATCCGCTGATCGCAATCATTTCTCTCTCCCTCTTTCTTTTTTTTCAAGTATATTTCTATGCAAAATTGTGCATTGTGCCACGGCCTCGAACTTAATGACACGCTATATACGCACATGCCTCTCTCGTGTACACATTGTCGCCAACCTGCCTGACACACGCTCTGGCTGTTCCTCTTTCTCTGTCGCGTTCAATCCAACTATCATGTGTGATCAGATACTCGTACGAGTAAATATTCGGACATTGGGGTCCACTTGGATTTATTGCTTCGTGTCTTAATTATTTCTGCACGCAATAAGTTCGTCCCCCTTTCTCACTCAACGAATCGTTTAACATACCTGGAAGAAATCATCCAAATTATTCAATCGAACTCACAGACGTTACCGCGCAATTAATTTTAATCTCGATTACCAAAAATCCCCATCATTACGCGTTACAGTTAATCATATCGAATTTGCTCGCATCGGCGTGCACCGATGAAACGATAGAGACAGTGCAACCGAAGAAATATTTACCTTTCATCGGGAAAATTTCTACATTCCAGCCATCGCGAATACGCGCGTGTAATAAATTTTAATGATCACGTAGTGCATAATACAATTTCAAATATGAGATTTACGGTACCGTATTCCGCAGCTTGTCCGGCTCTCTCACTCGCGCACCGTGAAAGGAATAAATCGCGGTTTTAGCGTCGGAATATTTTTACGATGGGACCATGTATCTTTCCGGTTAACGTTAACTACGATACGATATTTATATATCAGTCAAATAAATTCCGCGCATCCGATAACCGCGTATGCATATAACTTCCCGCGCCGTATACGATTCGGAGCTTATTTTCTGCATAAATAGTTAACGTACAAAGCGATAAATTCAAGCAACACCCTGCACCGCCGATATTTTCGTTAGCCGCGGTATATAAATATACATTTCGCGCGGATGTCAGGATGTTACGTACGTACGTCGCGTGTACAAGTTCCGTGGCGTGACCGGTGGCGGCGCCACCGTCGCTACCAACCGCGTACGTTGCATTCGCGCTGCATAATGCGCTACTTGCACTCGGATCCGCGTTTCTCTCTTTCTCATTCCGGCTGCCGTGTGTTCGTTACGGCCGATAAAGCACGATATACTGGACCGTGTCACCTCGTACCTCCCTTTCGCGTTCCGATGCCACACCGCCACCGCGGGCACTTTTCCTTGTCGTTCCATGCCGCGTCTACGTTCACGCGAACACGCTCACTTCCGTTTAGAGCGCCCGGAAGTGCAGCACTCGCGCTCACGATTCTCGATGAATTTTTCCTTTGCGCTCATACGCGCTTGAATAATTTTAGATGCAACATTCGGATAGGAATTTCAGACACGTTCCCTTCTGTCTCCTTTCTTTTATCTCTCCTGACTCCCAGATTCTTTTTTTTTTTTATTATTGCAGCACAGCCGGTTGAATATCGATAGTAACTTTTCTTTTCCAATTCGACGTTGATCGTTTGTGATGTCAAAATTGGACAGCGCGGAGATATTTTTCTTCTCTTCTCTTTTTTTTTTTTTTTATTTTATTTTAGTCGATGAGAAATTTTGTGTCGGTTCCTCTGAAACAAAGGTAACGAAGATTTGCCGAAGCTAAAAGAAACAGTGTGAAAATACTTGCCACCTATGGAGGTTCTAGTTACTTCAAGGTACTCTCCTGTGTATTTTCGCTTACAAGTGTTCGGGGGGACCGGAAGTCCTCCCGAGTGAACTTGGAAAGCACTCGGTAGCATGTTGCTATATACCTCTCTGCACTCTCTAACGAAAGTAGACACGTAGTGACACTGGTAAACAGGTCCTTGTAAAAAGGACACCTTTTGTAAATATTTCTTTTCAGTTTCTCTTAGAAAAAGAAGACACAAGTCTTAGACTCCATCAGCCTTTCTCGGTCCTCCTTTCACCTGATCCCTCTGTACGACGAAATCTCCGTGCAGATTGTAAGCGTTAACCTATCCAGTTTTAATCGTTTTATAATCACCTCGCAGCTCGAAGGGTCGGTGCGAGATATAAAGGGTATATTATTACCATTAAGAATATTTGAAAGCCGCTCGCTTGGTTGGTAAATTTATTCGTCGCGTTAAGCGTATCGTATTATCGGTAATAGCAATTACGTACATTTCGTGTCGAACCATTTTACTCGCAGTGTATTTAAATGTCGTTTAATGCCCTCGAAAACGCGATTAAAGCTCCGATGTTGTGTTAACTCGCTTAACGAGTGATGATCGAATAATGCTTAATTGCATTGTAATTCGATTAATTTATTATTCGCTCTAAAAGTGGCCGTGTTTCCAGCCGTTTATTTAAGATTGCAAATTTGTTCGTTGTAATGCCCCGTGCGATTTTCGTATGCCAAATATTACAGAAGATCTTGCACCCACGCTTCGTCTCTCTCTTTCTCTCTCTCTCTCTCTCGCTCGCTCTTTTTCCTCTCTTCTTTATCGTAGTAGCTATTATTACTCTCATCTCTGCACGTCCTTTCGATTGTAATTCTCTCCACTTCCTTTGCTGTCGTGAATTGTCTGTTTGCAGAAGATCACGCGAAAGCATCTGAAAAGCAATCAGCCGTAGAACGAACCAATTAATTCTTCGTTATTCCTGATTTCAACGGAGAATTGATCTTAAACTACCTGTCCCTCGCAGCTTATAAAACTGTATATATATATATATTCGCGTAACATTGTTGTGTGTAGCTCTCCTCAGGGACTGAGAACTTTCATCTGGTTTACGTACACGCAATATCCGCGAACATTCCGGGCATCTTCATTTCTCAGCAACGTGTAAATATTTCCCATCCGAACGGTACCTCGTTGCACGAGCGTTCTCGAAAATAGAGTCGCGTTAAAAGATTCGAGCCTGCGTATCGCGATAGTTTCGCGAAATGTCAGGTTCAAAGCGTCAAAGTGTCAGTATCTAATTCCATATCGGCGAGTAAACAGAGATCTACGAATTTATAAACAAATCGCGTGGCTATAGAATCGTAATCCTCGGCGCTCTTGAAATCATTTCATTGGATTGCTATACTTCCGGAAGACGCCAGTGACGGATTGATACGAAATTTAATTGGGATTTTAGAACGTTTCAGCTTGGAATATTAAATTTAATATAATTAAAATAATATCAATTAATATTAAATTTTAGCTTGGGATATTTCTTAATTCTCTGAATTCTTGTCAGATCACTTATATCGGTACAAGATCTCACTACAGAGATACACAGATGGAATTAAAGGCATAATATCGAAAATTATTTTCATTACCATCTCGAAAATAAATTAAATATTTGAAAATTATTTGCTAATTAGTATTACAAGCATTACACATGGAATGCTACCATTCTCGGATGATCTTTGTTTCATTGTAAAGTACAAGATGTCAAAGATACACAGATGGAATTAAACGTATAGTATCGAAAATTATTTTCATTACCGTCTCGAAAATGAATAAATGAAATTAAAATTTTATATTTTATATCCACGCTTTTTATTTCCCTCAAGTTTCTCATCGATCGGACACTGGGGTCTGTTTGAAAGATATTTTTCAACCATTTCGACTGTAGATTCGCGATGGTTTCTCGATAAATTCAAGCGCGATAATCGGAGGCCGGGTTTTTATTCGCGATAAGGGTAACTTCGTGACACGCATACGCGCGTATGCGCGCAATTTCGCTGAACTTTCTCTTCAAGAACCGCGTCCTTGATGGATTACACTGTATTTTAGCCGGGGATTTATAAAAAGTGCGAAAAAAGAAATTCCTGACGCAATAACGCGTCCGTAAAGAGCCCGGAGATAACGACGTTATAATACGGCCCCTTAGCGGCCAAATTACCGGCAAAAAAGGAGCCACATGAATTATTGCCCGATCGCGGGTTATTAATGATTAATTCCCGAACTTATCTCGGCTGCCTGTTACTCGGCCGCTGGTGTGCCCTTACGAATTTATAACTCTCGTAATAAGAGTAATTTATCACCCGGGCAACGAAGTCGAAGAGAAAGAGTGCCGGGTACGAAAAGAAGCGAGAGAGAAACGGAAAAAACGAAGAGAAAAAGAAAAATAAAAAAGAAGGGAAAAACGGAAGAAATCACCGACCAGCTGCGCGCGACTTGCGTTTGCAATTTATTTACAATACTCGTACGCGCATGACGACGCGGATCCTTGATTAAACGTAATCGATCTCGCAAACAAAGAAAGAAAATGGCCGTTCAACGAGGTACCGTTGCGAAGGTTCGCGAAACGCGTGTTGTCCTTTACCGAATCGATCTCGAAGATCGTTCAGATACGCGAGGATAAGCAAACGGAAGCGCAAGAGGGATCGTTGCGAGCCACGCGGACACGCTCTTCTCTACTTCGCCCGGAGGTACGGTAAAATATTCTGGTCCGGAAGTCATGTAAATTGTTCTCAGGTGTTACGGTAGGGAGCACTTCTTCCCGGCGCCCGATTACTCGGTCTGGTGCAGGGCGAATAGCATGCTACGCGGTCCAGGTGACATGGAATACGTGATCGCCTGCTGCAACCACTCCGACTACTGCAATCGCGACCTAAGGCCCACTGTTCCTCCTCGCGAGTCCAGAGGTGGGCCATACTTCCGACTCGTCGATTACCTCGCACGAGGTACAGCTTCCGCACACTCTGTCTTCTTCCAAGGTCGGTCGACGTTAGGCGGGAACGATGCGAGATTTTGTGCAAATATGGCTAAATTCGCGTGCTGCTTCCAACTTTCTTCGGTCCCGCGTTTTCGATTTTTCAATTCCGAAAGTTACACGAGTCATTTCCTCTGAATTTTCAATCTTCGTACAAGTATCTTTTCCTTAACCCATTTGCATCATTAATCGTTGCTTATCTATTTTAAGTTTATTTACTGCACAGCTATATGAAAAAATGAACATTTATATTGTAAAATAATATAGAATGATTTTATTTGAAAATATATAGAATTTTTGGATGAAATATATATGAGAGTTTGTTTGTTACACTTCATTTCAACCAAAAGCTTGAGAAACTCTCTTTAGAGCGAGGATGCAAATGGGTTAAGTATGTTTTCCATGAATCTTGAATCATTATGAATCTCTGTACGAGTCTTGATCACGATTATTGTTGACAAGGCTTTCTTTTTTGGTTTGATTTGTGGATTACCTGAAATTTATATGGTTTAATTAGCAATTAATTGTTTGATAATTATTTTAATTCAAATTTAAGACGGTGGTTTCAATAATCGATGTATCAATGGATTATTGAATTCGTTATAATAAATTATAATTAGTGGATTACCGAATATAAGTAGTTTTGGAAATATTGTTGTAGAGTATAGCTCCAATTAAAAAGTTCCAGGATGTTTCTCCTTTTGTTACACTGTAGGAATAGGCAGAGTTTTCGTTATTTTTTAGAGAAAATGTTTTTGGGGGATTATGAATAGACAGGGCAGAATTCGTCGTCCTTTTTGAAATGAAAGCTTTGGTGATTTGGCCTTTTAAACATATTTTGTGGTGGAAATTGTAGGTTCTTTGAACGAAATACGAAGGGAAAAGTCGTGTCTGGGTTTTAAATTCAATGCAGTTCTATTCAATTCTGGTTCTATACAAATTGAATCAGTTCAGTGTATAAATTTGCCTTCTCTGTCTCTTGCAAATAGCGATTGCCTTTTCCAACTCTGTAACCAAATTGTAAAGTATAATTAATTACAGTATAATTAAACTAATTTCGTTTATACCTTATTCCTACGAGTCTTTGACTTTAACAAAAGGAGAGAATTTTTGTAATATTTCCATGTATAAAAGTTCCATTTAAAAATTTTTCCAAAAATTTTCCTCTAAAGATAATGTAAATATTTACATTTTTAACGTTGTGCATTTCGTTGATAATATATAATTGTATGCAACTGTAAATTACCTTGCTTAACGATTAATAACTCTAAAAATGCTAAAAAATGTTTTACATTAGTACAGAGAGTGTTAAACTTATTTGGAATATCGAATTCGTGGCCGAGGTGTTTGTTTGCTGGATAATTTACATGATTTTAAAGTATCAAGTGCTAAGAAACGTTTGAGAGCCGTGGCGAGAGAAAAATGAGTTAACTCTTCTTTTTTAACTCTGTTTGTGAAGTTTGTTAGAGGCAGCTGGTCGACAAACACTTGAAATTCTATTAAACTCTTCGTAACAGAAAATTACAATCACGTTTCCTTAGATTGTATCTCACAAACAGTGATAAACGAATTCAATGGTTGGACTTCTTAACGCGGAAGAATAATCTGAAGACATTATTGAAAGTAATCTAGCAAAGAAAACGAAAGAAAATAATTTAAAAATATCGAATCAAGTTCGTTTTAATTTAATTTAACATTTAATTTACGTTTTCCTTCTGCTCGAAGACGTCTATCTATATGGGTTAGTTAGTGCTACTTATAGTTAGTGCCTGTTTAATCGTCGAGTCAGTAAAATCGGGAACGGAAACCAGCAGTTTCGACATCGTAAATGAAGAACCGAACTAATGCATATTGATCAATTTACACTTTCAAGGTGACTGCGATACACTTCGATTGAAATTCGATATCTAACGTTAAAGAAACCCAAGTGAGAAGAAAAAATCAATCAATCGAACATTTTATATATTAATATAATTAAACTTTCGCAGACAAATCGATCAGAAAATTATTTTAAAACACACGACCGATCACAAGAGAAATCTTTGCAACGACGACCTTGGAAAGACGCGTGCGATAAGAATAAAATAAAAGGAGATAACAATTAAGAAAAAAGAAATAAAAGATATAAAGAAACAAAGGAAAACTGAATTTTGGGCTTTTGATCATCGATTTTCGATGCTTTTTGTGAATTGTCTGGGCGATCATCTTTGTCACACACACACACACACACACGTTTCCCTCTATACACGTCCTTTGTACACGTTGTCTTTGTTCATACGTCCCGCTTCACTATCGAGCTGACATAATGCAGCGACCGCGAAACATCGTGATTCGTTTATACCCCGCGTTTCTGTTGTCGCAGAACTGTTCGTGAAGCTTGAAATTCAATATTTTGCACCGCTATTGTAAGCAGGCCGCTGTTCCATTGCATAACCCGATGATACGTTCTGTTTACATTATGATAGCTTACGTCCGTCTTTCGCAAATGTATCACGCGATTTATCTACGTTCGCTCGCTGTCTTTTTAATTCATTATCGGCTGATTCAAGATTTTGCAGTATCGCACGAAACTGTTGCGCGAAAATATTATAATTAGAGTAAATCGATGCTGTTTGTTTCCTTTACCTTTTGGTTTCGAGGAACGCGCAATAGGAATACGTAGGAATCTGGAAAATATATTTGCCAATTTTATTTTATATTCACGAAATAAATCCGAGAATTGATATATTAAGAAAACTTATAATACAGGATGCGAATGTATTTTCGACAAATTTATAAACTTACCGTAGTTGAATGATTATTCAAATGCAGCTTTAATTAATGCAGACTGAAAAATGATTAATGCAAGATACATTGATTATTTAAAATAGGTAGTATATTACGGTTATTTCCTTTTAATGTTAATTATACCTTCTTTTATTTTGATTTCATCCAAAAAGTTGTTCCTGTACGAATAATTGGAATTAGAATTCCTGGTCCGTGGAATATTGGATCGATTAAATAGTATTTTATGCACCTGTAGTAATAGGTAATATAGCAGAATAAGTTAGAAATTAAAATATTAATATTATAGTAAATTAAGAATCTTATACCTGGTACCAGCGTTTAACTATACGGCCATTTTTCAATAGCACTATAATAAAAATATCTTTATAAACAACTGCGCAAAATTATCCAGAAAATTCTAGTTACTTCTATCAAGATATAAATGACTTATAGTTGAGAAAATTATTACAAATGGTATCACTCATCCAATCGACACGATCGAGTAAAGATTATCGATTACCAGTTGATGATCGCGTAAGTCGTGGCCTAACACACATCATTACGCGGCAAACATGTTTTGTCACTGAAAATGATGCCGCAAAATAATATCGCGTATCACGTGAATAATTCGTCGAAATCGATTCTCGAACGTATTGAATAACACGAGTAAAATAGCTCTCAAGATGGAAGCGATGTTTTAGGTTAAGCTACCACACACGTGGTAGCTTTTAACGGTTAACTAGTTGATACAGTTTCACGGAAGTACTTCAGATCTCAACTATTTTAAGCTTGTTGTAGTAACTTAATAATTTACGTTATTTTCCCGAAGAACGAAGAAACGTAAATAACGAAGAATAAGGTTAAGCGAAATAAACAACGAAGTGTAAAGTTTAAAGAAATAGAGTACGGTTAAATGCAAAAACGAGGAATTAAGTTTATTTTTACGTATTAGAATATACATGCATTAACGCGTAATGCAAGAATACACTATTTAATAATCGTCTGTCGTATATATTCTTCCGCTGCACACAATACAACGAAACGCTACAAGTAATGAAAATGTATTCGACACCTGAGTTGAATAATCGCACACGCGATTGGGATGTCGCTCGTAGCTTAACGCGAATAGTTCAACTATCTGACGTAAGATGGTGTTCCAAATCGGCGGTTAACTCGCCGAAAATTACCTCGTGCGTTCTTAACCTTATCGGGAAAAAGTGCGATGTGTCGTGGTGGATACTGTGTAATTTCGTGATGTCACAATCGGCTTTGCAGATTGTGTATCATCTTGCATCTGTTTACAGAATGGGAGAGCCCTCGCGCGATGATAATATACGTCTTGTAAGCCGTACACGGATAAGATAATGCCGAATTTACACGCTTGCACTCGGTAATCGGTATTCTTCGCTTCAATGCAGCTTGAAACCTCGATAAAGCTCGAAATGCCCGCTGTTTCGTGATCATTCGCGTGCACCTGCATTCACGTGTGATTCAATAGCCATTCGTATTTCGAGAAGAAAATATATCTTGTTGTTACTGTTATTCTCACATAACATATGAATATAATATCTCACATAGAGACGAAGAAACTTTGTGAAATACATGTCGAGCTGAAAGAGGTTAGTATTTCTTTTTGAGAATTTTCTTTACTCGATCCTGTTTTTAATCTTTCTATTTAGAAAATTCAAAATGTAAGAATAAAAAATTTGTATTTTCTATTCTGCATTAAAATCTGTCACGTGATGTATATTGACGCGTAGAAAGTTAGTACGAAGTAGAAGAAAAATTTCAGAAGAAAGTTGCAACGAGCGAGAATAAATTAAATATCGAATAAAGCAATGAAAGCTATGACACATATTTCTCATGCGTCATATTCGCGTCAGCTACCGGGTTGAAAGATGTTTTGTCGCGAAGTAGCATAATGTTACGTAAACTTGTTCATCATAATTTTTGCTTATCCGTTTGTATCTCTATCGTTTTCGAGACATACGACTCGGTGCAAAAAATCGTCTGGCCTTTTTTTATGTCAAGTTCACACGGTCCTCGAGATAACGGAGTTTCGAGTTGATCGAACGATAAGGAAGCGGTCGAAGTTTCGCAACATGGTTTCGCTGTTCTGTCGCTGCACGACTAATGAGCAAATTTTAACACACGCGAGGTTAGAATTTGATTATAAAATGAATTTTAGAATACGGTGTATTTTGGATATTTCGATAGCATTTTTTACCCTAAATCTTTATTTCATTTTCATACATCCTCCTTTCCTATTTCGTTTCCTTAAAATTTCCTTCATCTGGCATTCTTTTGTGCACTACCTGATATCAATTTCTTTCCAGGGCTGGTATGTGGCGCCACCACTTGTTTTGACTAGATATTGCAGGGCGCCTATACGGCGACGTCGGCCTCTAGCGTGTTAAATCGCGAACATCTCGTCGCACGAATATTATTTCTTTTCGTGATATTTTCGATCCGGATTAGAAAGCACCTTTGGCACTCTTTGCAATCAATGATAAGTCTGATGTATTTAGCTGTAAATAAATTTTTCTCTTCATTGTTTTTCCATTTACTTTCTTGCTGTAAAATTTGATTATACGTAATATCGATCGAGTTAAGAGTGTAAGCAAATTCGAGGTTAGGTTCGATTACTGTCTTAAGCGGTTCTACACTTCGAAAATAGAGTTTCGATACACTGAATAGATATATTTAACGATGTTGGAAGTTCGGCTTATGAACGATAGCGTAATCTACATGAAAACTATTTTTCCCAAGATTCCTCTGCGTCGAATTTTTGCATGTGATTTCGTGATTACGTATTTCAAATAACATGACAAGTGTGATAGAAATGTACATTTATCGCAACAAGTATACAGTAATTTAATTTTTACAAATGTCCGTGACTATTCATATTGTAAACTCATGCATTTGTTAGCAGATTTAATGAAATTAGTTAGAATTAGTTAGAATTAAAATAAAATAAACTATTTCTCGATAGCTTTCCATAGTCATTAAGATAAAGGTATGGTAACAATGAAAATGATTCAAACAGAGAAAACAGTTTACAAAATTTCTTCTATAGTGAAATGTTCCAAGTTCTTAACTTGGTATATTAGATTTCTGTCTTGCCTTTCTTGTAAGATGTGTCGCAGCACGACCCATAGGAAGGTATACCCGCGAATTTTCAAATAATATGTTGCTCGAATCGCGACTACGTCGAATGGAAACATTGAAACGTCGTTCAGCAAGAAATTGAAAAAAAAGCGAATACAATTGGACGTAAAAGGCGAACGTCTATTCGCTTCGTCGCGATGCAACGACGATACGTCGTCAGATACGTATACTATGGACTTTTATTACGGAAACGACGTTGTAAAAACGTGCTATCAACGGAACAAGAGAATCGTCTCAAGATTGTCGCACACTTATCTCTATCGAGCTGTTCCAAATAGAAACGAACTAAAAATGTGTTCATACAGCTTTTATACCTCCATCACGCGTTCAATTCCAGTTGAACTAACTCAATATCCGCCATGCCCAGTGTGCTGAAATAGTTTTTAAGACGATCTATTTATTTTTCTCACAGTTATTCTTTTCATGGATGTGTTTATGATTCTGAAATGTCAGTGGATTCTTCCAAAGGTGAATTCTTAAAATAAAGTTCAAATGATTCTTTCTAATGAAATTTTTATTAGAAACAAGCTTAGCGGTTCTTGAATATTCAATACCCTATGGCAGAATAGATTCGGCATTTCGTTTTGTATGCATCCTATTTTAGATCTGTTATAATGTGTATATTCCGAGAGCTTCACGTCGAAATGTCATTTATTCTTAATGTCTCGAGAGAATTGTATTATTAGATGCGACAGAGGGTAATTTTAAAAATAACGAAACAGACGGATGAAATTCTAGAATTTTATATAAAATACAGTTCAGCTTGCGAAGAGTTCAATCATCACGGTCTTCAAGAATACTCACACCCTCTTAAATATTCAAAACTTAGAAGCCTTAACCCTAGATATTCCATCTAGACCTATCTAAAGTTTTAATAGCACGAAAGACAAATTTTCTCTATTCATCATACAAGACAGGGCAAAGTTCCTTCCCATATTACTCACCAACATTATCACATCAAACACACATCCTTCAACGCTCCAAAATTTTCGTTTCCTAATCATTCTCGCATTCAGATTTAACCCAGTAAATAAAATCGAAACTTCTGTGAAACTCTTCGTTTCCAATATGGCGAGAGATCCGTTACGAATCGAGCACGGGCAACAAAAATGTACATAGATAGGACTGCTATGTAGAATAAAACGATCGACTCGTTCCGACTGAAATCGCATCGAATACGCATTATCGGCTGACAAAATTTTCCGAATCCTCGTTTAATTACCTCGCATAGAAATATCGACGTTTTAATTACTCGCAGTAATTCGATTCGTCGATTTAACCCAGTAAATAAAATGGAAAATCTCTCAAAGCTATCACCCTTTTCGCTCGCAATTTGGCAAGAGGGCGCCACTGGTCTAACCATCGCGAATGGAACAAGGAACTCCTCGACACTCGGTCATCGACAAACGTTCGACGCATAAATGTAATAGTCGTATGAAAAGCGGATAGAGAGGGTTGCCATGTGAAACGAGACGGCCAGGTCGAATAAAATGGACGACAGCGATGCGTTGTACAGAGTAACGAGGCGTATTCGCGCGGTATTGACGGAGGGATGATGGAACGTATCGAAAGCGGTATCCATCGATTATACGGGCTCCACTAAATCCGGGGGAGAGTTGGCTAGTTATTGATGCGCGCTTTCACTGCAACGATTTGTTTCGATACGCCCGTTAATAACGTTGGTAACCAGGTATATTTCTTTTCAATATTCTCGCCGACGAAATGGCCCGTTATAGTCACCGATTGATTGAAAAATTTCCTGCGCAGTGTAGGTGTAGGGATTCGTACTACGTTTAGATTAGCCGAGTTATTTTCGTTTTATGATAATTTTATTTTCACGAGTGATGTAATGGAACAGCAACCTTGTTTTATATACGGTGTATTTTATTTCTTGCAAATTAAAGTAATTACACGGGGGGTTAATTATTGGGTTGGCCAAGCTGTAGTCGTTTTAAATAAACGAGGTTTTATCGGATGACGCGTCGACTATTTTTCCATGCTACGAGCAAGTACAGAATTCTATAGTAATTAGTGTATGATTGTATTTCAGAAATCGTGAGCATATTAGGTTTACGTCGGAGAACAAAGCAGCGCCATCTGGCGTGAAAATCTGATACTAGTTATTGGCCAATCTAATAGTTCCTACTTTATAAGGAGGTTTTTGGACAGTATGATTTCCAAATTTGTTTTTTATTAATAATAAATAATTGCGTGACCGATTCTCACAGCATACATAATGATTATTAGTCCGAATCGCAGTTCAATTCCAAATGGTCCATAGCTAAAACAATTCAACTATATTTCCATACTCTCCTGATAAACATTGGCATATTTCTGTCAGATCAAATCACGATACTAAATTTGATATTTTATATATCAAAACTAAAATAGATAACGTCGAGTCCAACTCGACATCGGCTCACAAAGGGTTAATATATCGAATCCTTTAGAGAGCAAGCATACCGAACAATACAACAAATAAAAACTCCGAATGTTTTATTTACGTGCATTCAATAATCATTTCCACATTCGGTCGAATAATTCAACAGAAGCTACTACACCGAGTAAAGCTATTGTACCAAACGGAATCGTCCAAAAACCTCCAGGACAACAAAGGGATTGATTGCTACCCTACTGCGTCGCAGGGATTATTTATCACGGGGTGAAACCTCGTAATGGCCGCGAATTTCCACGAAAATTTTCACGTATTTCGGCAACAGAAGTACAAACAACGTTACAACGTTTCTCGGAGAATCACGAAACTCTCTGTCACGCATACACAGACGTTTAAGCATTACGGAAGTATGCTCGCTCGATATTCGTGCAGTGTTCTACGCGCTTCGAAACGAAGGATCTGCATGTCGTGTATCACGGCCGATTTCAGCATCGGGACACGAGTAAGTTCATGCACTAACATCGCGCGTCACCAAGGTATACACGTATCCCCAGGTTCTTGCCAATCTTCATCGGGCATCCCCTGGACGTGCAATCATTCACCTGTGACTCGTCTGTCTCACCGTTATTCGTCATCTCATCGGATACCCCGTGGGAATCAATTTGGTGCCTTATCGTGAAACTGCTAGATGGATGGTTCTTGCGCGGACGCCAGTTCCGTGATCGATTCGATTTCACGAATATTTGTTTCCCGCGGCGAAGTCCAGCCGCTCGTTCCCATGATCTCTCCAATTTCCCTGCTCTGTATCGAAAAGAAAAAAAAAAAAAAAAAAAAATTGGAAATTACCGTGATAGCGATCGCGTGTAGATTCGAAAATCGTTTTTCCACCAATTAAAATTCCGATCGATGCCGATCAATGGGTACTTCGCTTGGAAATTTAAGTCAGGAATGAGTTTAAGAAGAGCTTGCGAGTTTAAGAAGAAAGCGAGCTTCGGATTGGAATTTAATTCGAAAGTCTTCTTTTCAAAATTTCAGTCGAAATTATTTTTCCGAAATTTCACCAATGACGTATCGCTGCAAAATTCGTCTTGATATTTCATTCCTGCACGAATTCTTTCTTACAAGGAGAGTGCAAGTCCTTCGAGTTATTGGTTTAATTGAAACTCTGCAGGATTTAATCATCTAGTTCAAGAAAATGTATCATATAAGGGCAAGAATTTAATAGTTTTTGAGATATTTATGCTTAAAGCTTTATTATTCTTAGCTACCGATTTCTTCTAAATAGTTAGCCATGTTTATCAAGTGCCGTTGTAGCCTAACAGCGACATCAGAAAGTTTCAACCCTGGTGGTGGCCCGGGATTCGATCCCGTTCATAATTAATAGCTTTTCCCATCTATTTTTATTTTGTATTAATTTTTCGCCCATGAAAACAGATGATTTTAAATAAATTATTTTTCCTAGGCCACCAAGTGTGGCAATTTTTGAATGTCGTCATTAGGTCACAACGTCACTTGACAGTTATTCGAAATAAATCCGTAATTAAGGCAAGTGTAAAATTTTAATCACGAATATGTCAAAAACTATCGAATAGATGTCCTTATAACGATAGTGGATTCTTGAACTGCATGACGAAATCCACAAACCTGCAAAGTTTCCACTAAATCCATGACCCGAGGTACTTGCACTCTCCTTGTTAGTCCGATGTCAAAGCGATTATCTGTTAAATTGAAGAAACGACTTGAAGAACAATCGTTCAATTCGCCTTGGAAAATATATTGGAAATAATATTTTCGAATCGCGATTCGAGGAAGTATCCAAACCCTTTAACCCCGAGCTCCTGCTAATGTGCTCTGTGTGGTTTTCCGAGGAATAACCGATTAACAGCATCCGCGTGAAGGAATTCATGTCGCCATGTACCACGATCAAGCCTGAGGTAAGTGATGCTGTGATCAGTGCAATACGATGATCCAGAGATCGTGAAAGAAGCGTTGCATCCACGCGATGACTCATGCACGGCTTGCGTCATCGTTGTATGTGCACTAACCGGCCAGGTAATGCAGAGGATCGCTCATTTTTGGCCCCATCGACGTGATGGAAGGAGGCAGAATCATCGAGAGATGCTGTTTCGTACGTTGACACCCTCGATACTTTTATTCACGATAGTTCTTTATTTTTCCTCTTTTCTCTCTCTTTCTCTCTCTCTCTTTTGCTCTGTCTATCTCTGTTTCTTCGTGCAAAACGACGCAAGAAGAAGAAGGTTCGATTCAAATCTGGGTATCGATCGTTCCAAGTATTTATGAAGAATCGGATAAAGAGTTTGTCCCCGGTCCTGACCCACTGACCTCCTGAAACCTAACTGCATGCTGCATGTGTCTGTTGGTTTAAACTGTTGCTACTCACTGCTGCATGCTTCTCGGTGTATTTATCATTTAGCATGTTTCGCGAAGGTGTTTCCGCAAGATGTATCTCCGTTGTTCCGCCAGCTTGACGCAGTTCGTGTACCACCTTGATTTTCACTTGAAAATCGGCTTCTGCTGGCTTTCCGAATCACTCGGAGAAATCTGTTACCTACAATCCGTTCGGTTCTTTTGACATCATTTGGCTCGATAAATTCGAACATTTTTGACATCTTTGGTTAAGTTTGACCGATTCTAGAAGCACTTTGATATTTCGATATTTCAGCGAGTAAAGTATTTGCTATGGCAGATACTGGTAGAAGGTTAGGCGCGAAATAGAATTGAAATTTTAATTTCCTACTTGCTAATCATCCTCGGGATGAAAAATGGAGATGATCGTAGTTAATATTGGATGTCAATAGTAATAGAAGGACGAGAACAGCCTATGAGACTATGGATTGAACGTTTCACGTTTCTCGGAGTGATTCCCTGCGTGAATGTACCACTACCGAATGATAATCGAAGATTTGTTGGAAAAAGTGCCGTCGGGTGGCGATGACGCGACGTGGGTCACTTGGAAAATGGCGTTGATGATAGCGATGCCAATATGCGCGATCTGCGTGGTGGTTATGGTCGTTTATCACGTGCGCAAGACCCCAGAAAGGCCCGGGAATAGCGATGACTCGCAAGAGGCACCGGATCGACCCATCCTGGGCGGAGTTACTATTAGGGACATGCTGGAAATGACCACGAGTGGCAGTGGCTCAGGTAGGTCAAATTAAAGTTCTATGTAGGAGGATAAAGCAGTTCTAAATATTTTTATTATCGTCACCGACGTTGGTTGCTTTACAATTAACCCTTTGCGGACGAGCGCCGCCTATATGCGTTTGGCGGAAACCGTATATGCTGTAGCGACCATCATTCTCACCCTCGCCACTAGATGGATCCCAACTTCAAGGAGGTTCGAGGACTTTCTCGCAAGTACTCGGAAAACCTCCGCTTCCTATATATATAACTTCCAGACCTTTTAATAGTATCCACGTCTAAAGCTAGGTAGCTTTACCGATGAGTCCCACTAACAGGCCCAGGACGAAACGCATCCCTTCCTTTTCCTTTCGTCCCTTTTAGCACTACCGTTACACGAGGATACCTTCTGCTCTGCGACCAGAACCAGCCGACTTTAACAACCGTGGGGGAGAGGATCCCTTTACAAATGCATTCGGTGAAAACAACTGATAGGGGCCAGGGACTCTAAATGTGTCTCACGTAAATGCGTTGCTATGGCCGAAAAACACGTATATGGACCCACTGTTACGGCCGTAGGACCGCACGCACGTCCCAAGTTAAGTATAGTGGACTGTTTTATATCCTTATTGTTAGTGTCGCTATGAACAAAAATCGTGTTTAAGTAGAAACGAGCGCTGGTAGTTTTGAATGACTATCGGCGGCAGCCCGGCTGGGCCCCACATTACAGTTTATTCAATACCGCTCCGTCCGCAAAGGGTTAAAATCGAACTTCTCCGAAAATAATTTTTGCCCATTCGGGGTAAAGAGATTAAGGTTATTTTCATAAATGTATATTAAATTTCCAAGAATATAAGAATGACGAATATTCCCAGGATGACTTAACGAAAGAAAATAGATATCGACAGTACCATTTTAATCAGGTTTGGTACAAGACTAAGGTAATTTCGACTCGACGTTATTTTATCTTTTGCCAGTGGTTTTTGATAAGATTAAGTATCAGACGTTTACTGCCTATTATTGGTTTTTTATCTAGGGAGTATCAATTTTCTCAATTCTTTGAATCGTATATCATACAGAGTTGTCAAAAGGCATACCAGTGCATCAATCCTCACCTAATGTAAAGACACGTCAATCACAGAACTGGTATCATTGGGCCATATACAACTTATGGATGTCCTGCAGAAATAGCAGTGAACAATTTTGTCATCCTTAGCACCATCGACTATTTAACACGTTAAACGCCACGCTAGTCCCTAGAAACCGGCGTTAGATTTTCTGTTCAGACCTCGCCGGCCCATACGGCCCAGCGGCAGACTTTTCGTTCTTGTTATCGTATTTAATTTAGGCGACACCGGTCTTTGCTTGGTCAGTGCTTTAAGGAAAAGAATATAATACTTAAAATATTAATATAATTTATTAAAATAAAGTAAACAAAGATTTGTTTGTACATTCGGCGAGCGGTCCTACCTGCGAGCGGCCCGGAAGGGCCCGCTTGACGGCTAACTGTGGCGTGAACGGAATGGCTC